CCCTAAAAAATGTTTTGATCTCTAAACCCCTTAAATCCTCAAAATTAAATCATAATACAACATATATAACTAAAACATAAATGATATAATGAAAAAAGAATTTTGAAAAAGCGACATTTTTACAAAAATTTTGAAAAAATGACATTTTTAAAAAGAGGCAATTAAAAAATGGCATTTTTTAAAATTTCTCTAATGTTTATTTTCTTTATTTTTGCTAGTTAATTTATAACATAGATTAACTAATTTATATTATATATCATTTTCTACTTCAAAGATCCATCCATCTGTTTATTTTTAATCATTCGATTTATTTTGAGATTATCTATATCTTCTTTTTGCAAGGGTTAGACTCTGGGGATATGTTTCGTCAGTTTAGTATTCGTGGTTGGGTCTTTAACCTTCCGCTGTTGGTTTCGGTATCGTGTATTTTAGTAGCCGGTTTGTGGTTCGTACTATCTATTTCACCTCAGTTTTAATATAACATCGATCTAGATGACAAAACAAAAAATTCATCCATCCGTGAAAAAAAAATCCTACAAACTTTTTAATAAAATTATTTTTCACATCAAACATTTTCAAGAACGTTAATTAAAAAAATCCAGAATTTCCACGAAAAAATATTCATGGATGGGCCAAATCACTTATCAAAAAAGTGATTTGATAAAGCTAAAAAATAGCTTTTCAAAAAAGTGCCCACACGCAGGATCGAACTACGGACCTTCAGTTTACAAGACTGACGCTCTACCACTGAGCTATACGGGCCTTTGCTTCCCATTTTCTCATCAATAAACATAACCAACCGAAAACAAACATCATCGTCGGAGAAACTACGGAACTTTCCGACCAAAATCTAATCTCCGACTTACACATTTCATAACCAAAAAAAAATATGATTTTTTTCTTTATAGTGAAAAAAAACGATCTTGGAAAGGAAGTAAAAACAAACAAAAAATAACATTTTTTCCGATTTAAAGAACCAAATCTCAATCTCAATCTCCTCCGTGAACAACAAGGAAAGATCTCTTCTTTGAAATCGAATCGAAAGAAGACGTGAGCGATGAATGGAACCCATCGTCATCATCTTCTTCAGCTAGTTTTATCGTGCCGTAAAATCACGGCTCAAGTGACTCAACCAGAAACCACAACGATCGTAGCCATGGCTTCATCTTCCGAGCAAGAATTCTTAGCCCAGAGCCGAGCTAATCTCCACCGATTCCATCGTTCCAACAGTTTCTGGGACTCGAAGACAGCTTCACGCGTCGGTGAGAAGCTTGGGTTACGTCTTAGAGAGCTTGGTGTCGATGCAGTCTCCATTGATGCAGCCGAAGAGATCTCTCGACCCATTCACCACCGTAAAAGGGTTCTTCCGTTGTTTGATTCCGTTCGTCGTACCGGAATCAGAGTCGACGGAACCGAGCAGTTGATTGAAATCGGTCCGGTTATTCCCAGAAATTAGGGTTCTTGAATTTTGGGGTAGGAACAAATTTGGTTCCTTTCGGCATAAAAACATTTTGATTTCATAGTCCTTTCTGGTTTTTTCTTTATGCATTTCAAAAGTTTGGAACTTGTTCTTCTTTCATTTTTGTGTATACAAATCATGTTCATATGCAAAACCAATACTCAATTGGACCAACCAAACATTAGCTTCAATGATCATCAACTATGTTTATACAAAAATTTACAATGTGTCAAGTTACTGCCAACTTTTATCTAATATTGACATCATAGTGAAAAAAACAACAAAAAATGTAGGAACCACCAAGATGATAATAAGAAAAGAGAATTGATGATTAAAAAAATTCAATGATAAATTTTGCATTACATTATACATTAAGAAACAAATGTTTTGTATTTGACTTCTTTTCAGCTTGTGTTTTGCTGCAACCTGCAGAATGTTTGGTCATATGAGTGAGTTCTTCTACACCTACTTGAGGAAGAACTTCCAAATGTCTCTGTCCGTAGTTTCTTTAACCAAATGAGCTCCTAAGATACTTTCCTCGTCGACCAAATTCCTCAAATGTTTTGCTCCACCGTTGAATCCCACATACTGCTTCTTCGCAGCCAAATACACCACACCGTATGGCGGTCTCAGGCACTGTTTCCAAACCAAAAAACCAACAAAACCATTACTATACCCGCGAAACAACCACCGAATCAAGAACTAGAGAGAGAGAAGGATCAAAAACCAACCTTCTTTATGAGAGAATATAGTTTCTTCAGAGATGTAACCGAGTAAGGGATTTCGGTCATTAGTATAACATCATATCCGCATTCTCCTCCTTGATCAGTCTCGTTGGCTCTTTCCCACGCTCTGCTTCCCGAGAGCTTCCTTGATCGCCTCGAGGAGAAATCTTGTTGTCCTGTAATGCTTCCGTCTTGGCTGCTACATCCATCCATGAAATCTTCCTCTGAGAAACTCAAGCTCATTCCCTGGTTAGCTGGTTCAAGGACATCGGCTCTTATGATTGATAGAACGGTCGGGAGCTCCTCCCATTCTCCTGCATAGAAATGGACAGATGCAGAGACAGCTTGTCTTGACGGTGTAAGTGGGCTTTCTGGCTGACGGATTTGCCTGTCCCGAGCTTGATCTAGGTTTGCAAGAACGTTTGGGATGGTTGTGCATCTTATTGTTTCTGCGTTGAGGTCTTGAAAGTGGACTAAGGAAGCACCCTTTAGAAGAAGCAAAGAAGATTAGACTCTGAGAAAGGTGACAGAAACAGCTACCTTGCAGTGTCGGTTTACTTACTTTCAAGCAGGCAAATATCCCAGGAACTCCATAATTGCAACCTAGCTGTTAAAGCCACCATACAAAGGAAAAAATAAAACTAAGTGACAAATAAGAACATAAAGATTGGATACATGTTGCTCAATTGCAGGATATCTAAGTATATAAGTGATACAGTACATTTTTTGTGCCATAAAGGACATTTTAGTGAGACTAGCATTGCTTCGACAAACAGAGGGTACAATTAAGGAGGAAGTACCTCAAGGACCCTTTTGCCCCTGAAGCTTAATTGTCCATCGCGGATTTCGTTTTTAAGGACTTTAACAAGAACGATAGAGCTTTCCCAACTTTTCAGAGAACCTATACAATAGTTATTTAACTTGATACAGTGATACAGAAGAGAAGAAAATATCAAATGCAAGTGCAAGCGATGCACATACCTTCGTATTTTAGAGGAGCAGTTTCTGAACCAGCAAGCCCGATGATATCAGCAACACTTACTTTTCCCTGAAAGAAATTAATGGTTGCAATGTAAAGGTTTAGTATTCTCTACATATTCTTAACCTCATCCGTAGTTTTAGTTCAAAGAGTCGTGTCATAGTCGTTCTGAGTAATAAACGCATAGATGATTAATCACCAAAAAGATTAATTTCAAGTTTCAATGAAAAATATATAAAAACCAAGCAAACCTCGTACTTCTTGACATACTAATTCTAACATACATCATACTTTGATCAGGTCATGTAGGAACAAGGTTCAAGTCTACAAGATTCTCAAAGAAAAAACAGTCTGAATACTTTATGTGCCACATCGTAGTCAAGAAAAGGTTACCATATCTACTCACAAAACCAGTATTAAAATATCATCCTACCGCGTCATTGGTCCTTCCAGCAATCACTTCTTCAGATTAAATCTTGAATAAAGGTTTTGGAAACTAAGTTTAACCTCGGGGCTCTCAAAAAGCCGAGTGGACAGATCAGTTTTCTTCTATATCTTTCTACTGGCTTAAAGCTTAGAAGTGGTTAACTATAATTCAAAATTGCGTTTTGTGATACCTTGAAAACTTGTAAACCGAGCACATCTAGATTCTCCCCTGAATACCTGTGATGAGCTGCTGTCTACAGAAGAACGAACCGACAAATAAAGCATTAGAATTGCAAAGTATAACAAGTCTACTTCATTCTCAAAACGAAAGAAACTCCACGCGGAAAAGTTCTTCACTAAAAAAGTTTGTAATCGATGATAAAAATCGACAATGAGCAAACAACCTTGGAAGGTATGATCTCAACAGCTGGTGTTGGAATCTGCAAATCCTTCTCTGATATTGCAGACACACCCCCTCGGTCCTGAGGCAACAAACCGGGCAAGCATTGCGCAAGCAAAGACGGTGCACGCATTCTTTAGCTTCGATGAGTTCTCAATAATCCTCCAAAGGCAACAATCTAATAATATCAAAAAGATATAATCTTTTAGTAATGGGATTGTCACTCTAAACCCTAAAACCCTAGACACCTAACGCCGATGCAATCACATGATTCACATGATAAGACATGAACAGATGCACCGATTAAACTTGATGACAAACCAAACAGAGACTAGCAGAGCAAAGCGAAGGACATACAAAAGTCAAATAGATTCGAAACTAAGCCCAATTGCGAGATCTACGAGAATCTTCAATTCCACTTCCATACCATTAAACACAATCAACAAGGATCAAAATCAAAACCAGAAACAATCAACGAAATCAAAAGACATAAAAGCTCTATATAACCAAAAATTTCAAAATGAAGTCAAAATTTAATCAAACGACTGATTACCGGATCAATGGAGTATCAAGAAACAGACAACGACAAAATTACTTTGCTTCTAGTAGAAAGACAAAAACGATCAGAGGAAGAAGAGTTCTCAACACGAAATCCGATTCTGAGATTCTTCTTCTCAAACACGGCGAGAATCTAGGGATCAAACAAGGTTGAAATTTCTGAGCGAAGGAAGAGATCTCTCACACGTTTTAAAGT